TTCTTTTACTTAAAAAAAAACTCAGGTAAGTCTCAATCCAAGTTTTTTACTTGAATTTGCCTTTTAGTACCTATTCTTTCTTGAAGAGAAAATGTTTTTCTGTGATAAATCAAACAAATCTACCAAAAGGTAAGTGCAATGTAAAAAAGGAATATAGCAAGTTAATTTCAAAAAATTAAACTAGCCATATAATTAATTTATGTTTATTGTAATTTATATGTGAAGTATTTGTGTAATAGTTATTGTGTGCACTAGGCATGCATTCATATACATCTCTGATCTCTATAGTTTTTAATCTAGTTTTAGAGAATGATCATAAACAAGTAAACAATAAGATACTTCAGATGATAGTAAGGAATACAGATTATTGTCATGGAGAGCGAGTGATGGAGGGGAAAAGCAAGATTATTAAAAGTTTCTTTGAGCAATGCATTTAAGTTGAGCAAGCAATATGTTCAAATCATATATATAATTTTAGTTTCTTATAAAAGAGATAAAAAGCAATGTATTAGTAATTACACAACCAGGAACTTTGATCAGAGATAACCAAAAAAATGATAAATCACTGATATTGATACCATAGACGATAACACCAGAAACTTCTTATTAAACAATTCTGTTATTAATATTATTATCATTGATATCATTATTAAGGGAAAGATTATTATTGTTCTAAACATTTAATGATGAGCTTGAATCTCTGTAAGATCTAGATAATACTTTCTTAATAATCAAACAGTTAGCCAAAGTTTTTATACAGTCATCATAAATGTGAGCTATAGCACCATTGAGCCCTGAGATAATGTATGCCAACTATTTATCACGATGTCTTATATCAGAAAAATCTCAGTAAATGATAGCTCAACTTTGTCCTCATCATCTCTCTCATGGCATGCAATGCATGTAATATATATGGTATTATATAATCATCCAGTGACTATATTTTCTAGAAGAAAATACCCATTCAGCCCTCTTTCCGCTCTGTGAGAATATAGCAAGCAGGCATCCATCTGTGACAGAGACTTCACCAGGAATAGAAATTGGCTGGCACCTTGATTTAGGACTTTACAGCCTCCAGAACTGTGAGAAATATATTTCTGTTGTCTGGGAGAAAATATATGCAACCATATAATATTTTTGAAATAAGGTGCCAATATTCAAAATGTACAAAGAAATCATACAATGCAATAGCAAAAAAACAAAAACTAAAACAAAAAACTCAACTAACCCAAATAAAAAATGAACAAAGAATCTCAATAGACATTTTCCAGAAAAGATATACAAATGGCAAAGAGATTTATTCAAAGGTGTCTGGCATTACTAATCATTTGGGGAAATGCAAATGAAAACCACAATGAGATATCACCTTTCGTCTGCTAGAATGGCTCTTTTCAAAAAGACAAGTGAGAACAAATGTTGTTGAGGATCTGGAGAAAAGTGAATCCTGTAAATTGTTGGTGATCATGTAAATTAGTACAGCATTTTTTTTTTGAGGTGCACACCACCACATCTGGCTAATTTTTTTATTTTTGTAGAGATGAGTTCTTGCTATGTTTCTCAGGCTGGTCTCGAACTCCTTGCCTCAAACAATTCTTACACCTCAGTCACCCAAAGTGCTAGGATTACAGGCATGAGCTGTTGTATCTGATCCTGTTATCATTCTTTAAATTCTGTGCAAATAGACTGATAGTAATTTTTTAATGTGAGATTCTTATTTGATCTATTTAGGATTGTAATAGACACTGATATTTGTCATGGCCCTTGTTCTTTATTAGAAAAACTCAACTGTTTTTTGTCTTTTTTTTTTCCCAAGTAGGCAGTGTCTCAAGTTCAAGTCTAATATGCATCTTCAGTTCACTTTGTAATCAGGTGAGGTGGCCACTTGCACCTGTAAAGAACATCCAAATGAATGTCTTTCAAGGGCTTCTATAGAGGTTTGCTCTTCTTGAGAAAGAGACCAGATGCAGGCGGCATCGCTATTCTCCCTCTTAATCTTGTCTTGAACTTGGAAATAATATTAAAAGTGGGAATTGATAAGTGTCAGGGAAAAACCAAACAAATTGCAGCAACATCAATTCTAACCTCATTGAGTAGCTGAACCAACAGTGCACCTGCATGTCTTCAGACTTGTGTAGTGAGAAATGAACCATTTTTTGTTTTGGCTGTTGTTGAGTTTTGTGTTCCATGCAGGTAAACTTATTTCTAACTGGTAGTCTACTACAAACAGTAATTTCATGTTCAGACAAACATACTGCAATTTTTATTCATGTCAGCAATTACATTCTAAGATAAATTTAATTAAAATACTAAAATCAATACTACATTAAACTATTTTCCAAGGTATTTTTCAAAGAATACGTATACACTGAGATATTAATAGTGATAATATCGATAACTAAGTAGAGAATAAAATATACTAGGGAATGCCATTCTTTGGTCAAATGAGTTTGGTAATTTGTTTTTTGTTAACAATGGGATTTCTTCAAAATTGGACCTTCCTCACCACCAGGAAGAATCTTGTAGAACTTATTGTCCAAGTAAGACATTTCAGGAAATACTACTTTAAGTCATTTAGTATTGCTTTGCTCTTTCAACAAAAATGATTAAGTGCCTCTCATGTTGCATGAATCTTGTATTTTTACCATCAAATCCATATTGCCATCTATGTCTTTGTTCACTGTGGCCATTCTTCTTAATATTCTATTTCTGGGTTCATAAAAGAAATTCTTTATATGTATTTCTAGCTACATATTAACGATTCTTTAACATGAAAAATTGATAATCTAAACATATTACATTTATTTGCAGATAATATAAGCCATTCATATCTAATTTCCTCTGTTATTTGCCTTACTAACAAATGTTTCCACTTATTAGTAGTATAGGTAGTTAGACTCACTACTTACAAGTGAACTTAAATCTAGTCAATTACTCCCAAGCTGCTTACTGTATTTTCAATTTTGTTGTCTGTAAATGTTTAAAACAATTACCACTGCTTTTCTTATGTTTGTACTCTGCCTAAAATAAAAAACAAAAACAAAAACAAAAAAACCTGTAGCACTGGAAGAAGCAGGGTTGTATACTTCACAGCTGAAACTCCAGCTGAATTTTGCAAAGAGAGACTAATCCTTCTCAGTGGCCAGACTCAGAGAGGAACACTCAGTCTTTTCTCCACCTCTCACCTTTCATACATTCCTGAGGTGTGGAGAGCCAACTGGTTAATATGAATCTGAAAAGTACTTAGAAAAAATATTTAATCCCTTCCTCTTCCTTGAGCAGGAAGTTCTGCAGATAACTGAGAAACTGGTTTTTAAATTCTTATCCACTTCTATATTTATCAGGCATCAGAAACTTTCTCCATATAACTAACCTTTATCTCTCAACTGAGGCCTATATACATCTCTGTGTCTTTCTTTTGATCAGAGGACTTACTGGAGGACTTTGATTAGATAGATCAGTGAGCAAAGTAACTGGAGGGTGAGTGGCTGGTCCCTGCTAATCAGGGCCACTCTGGTTCAATATGGGCCTGTCAAATAGTTTCATCTGATGATAGAAGCATATGCAAAGTATTTCTGTTCACATTTGTTCTCTTAAGAGAAATAATTATTATGTTACATCTTTGAACTTGAGATCATGAGTCAGATTTTTTTTTTAATTAATTAATTTATTTATTTATTTTTGAGTTGGAGTCTCACTCTGTCGCCCAGACTGGAGTGCAGTGGCCGTTCCTGGCCACTGCAGCCTCAACCTGCTGGGCTACAGCGATCCTTCCTCCTCAGCCTTCCAAGTAGCTGGAACTACAGGTGCGCGCTACCACACCCGGCTCATTTTTTGATTTATTGTAGAGATGAGGTCTCGCTGCCCAGGTGGGTCTCGGACCCGGGGCTCAGGCAATCCACTCACCTCAGCCTCCCAAAGGCGCGGGATTACAGGTTGAGCCACCGAGCCCGGCTATGGGTCAGATTTTAAAACATACTACTTCATGCAAAGTCCTTTGTGGAATAATCCAAATTGTTAACTCAACCTCTGCATGCAAACACTTTAAAAGCTAGTTAGGGAGACAACTAGCAGACATAGATAATAACTAACATCATCAAAAAAATGTAGCATAGGTAAATATGTAGGAAAATAGTAGTCAGTATGTGTTAACAATCTATGAGAGATGTAGAAAGTTCCATTTTTAAGAGTAAAACTTTTTTTTAATAAGTTTGGCATATTGTACATCTCGATCTCAGAGAGATATTGGGCTGATATCTAATTTATACCTTGTGCCCCTAAAGATATTATTCTTGGTAATTGCATTATATAACATTGTTAAATGTGAGTATGTAAATTTATAAAGGAATATAACAAAAATTTTAATTAAAAATAAAAAAGACTAAAATGAATTCACTACTATTTTTCTACAATGTTTATAGAACAAAATAACATTGACTCAAATTTTGTAATTTCAGGGATGTTAAGAAAAACATGAACAAATAAATTAGCAATGCCCAAAAGCAAATTCCATAAACATAAACATTTCAAACAAAATAACTTATGTTTTCCATCTTGAAGAATTCATTTTATTTATGTTTTCTTTCATTTGAAGTATAGAAACTCCTGAATTTTCTTTAAGTTCAAAATAAAATAGTCTATCTATAAAAGCAAAGAAATGCCACAATTTAAAATTCATTCCTTTTAAACATGCTAATGTGTGAAGCATTTCTATGCTACACTGACTAATAAGTAGGGTATACTTATATGGTAACTCTTTTGCAATGAAGTAAAATAATGTCTTATGTATTTAAATAATACTATTGTGCACTTAAAACTAATGAGACAGTCTATAAAATAGATGCATATTGGAGATTTAACATTTGTTAAATTCATTTCTAGTCTTTTATGTATTTTTCACCAGCAAAGATAAGTTCATGAAGGCATTTGAAAATCTGGGGTGACCTATTCACAGACCCACTTTGATTAGAATTTTCACAACAAAATATATGTTTTTTTTACAGGTTCTTCATCAATACAATCCCCTCATATGGTTGTATATGCTACCTTCACACCTCTCTATTTGTTTGAAAACAAGATATTTTCACTAGAAAAGATGGTAAGCTTTCAAGATAAGGAAATACAATATGATTTATGGTGTGTGTGTGTGTGTGTGTGTGTGTGTGTGACATTACTTGCTGTGTTAGAAGGTTCACCAGAATTTAATTAAAATTCTATCCTTGGATTTCAGTTCCCCTGCCTTTAAAATTATTAGGTGCTTGACTTAAAGGACCTGGCACATCTAAAATTAGCTTAGATGATTGCAAATGACTGCAGTATCACTGTTTCTCTATCTTGCCTAGGGACTCTTTTAGGTTAGCAGTCTATGAGGATGATCTAGTTTCCCTGGTAAGTATGAGAATATAATTGAGATGTAATGTTTTTACAATAAACCTTTAGGAAACAATTTCTGTCCTAATAAAATGTCATTAAGTAGAGTACATTGCTAAAAGTTATAGCCCCAAAGACAGTGAGATCAGCAAGTAAAATAAAGGTAATAACTTACATTTATTTTTTTAATGGCAAAGAATACAAGAAAATTAAGAACAAAATAAGCAAGAAGTCATGAATTACCCTACATTATCTAATATCCTCCTCTTTTTGTGTATTCTAAATGGTTTTAATTTTATTCAGATGGGTGATCTGGGAGTTTTTAAAAAGCCTTCCCCACTGCCCAAACCCCCGCTCCTGCTTCTTTTTAAATGTTTGAAGTGAGATGCAGTAAAAAGAATGAAAGCGTCTTAGAAAAGAAAACTTCTAATGTAAGTCCTATACATGAATTATTCACAAGCATATATTGAATGCCTACTCACTGTTTCCAGCTCTATTGTAAATCCCCCTCTACCCTAATAGTAACCTAAGGATCTTTGAGACCCTTTAATAAAGTTTCTTAACTACAAACTATAACTATTATTAATACCATTGCTTTACAAGATTCAGAAGTATCGTTCAGTGTATAGAAAGTAAAATAATGTATGAGGAATTGTCTTATTTAAATTTCCCCTGCTTAAATCAAGCTAGTACATTGACAGATCATTCAAACTTTCAGTAAGTGCTAATACCATATTGTTATTTGGACCACTTCTTTACATTTCCAAAATGCTTTAAACCATTTTATTTTCTAATGTTCTACAGATCAAAAAAGAAAGTCATTTTAGACTAAAATGTTGGCTGCAATGGTAAGAAGAAATTGACACATGTAGACAAAATTATTACTAGTAAAATGTCTGGAATTTATCTAACTTCTAAATACTACTTTGAGAATGACTTCTATTTTGGATATTATTTAAATGTAACTTTTACAATAATACACCTTTTATAAATACTATACAGAGGCGCTGTCTTATTGAATAGCCTCATATTCTCCCATAACTTCATTGAAAGGATTGCTTTCAAGTGTTGACTTAGCCCATGGAAACTTCTAATACTTGACAGAGTTAAAGCTGAGGAAAAAAGGTTTCGATTTTATATCATCTGTATAAACATTTCTTAAAGACATTCTAAGGCATAATTCCAGAAGTTTCTGAAATTTTGTTAGTAAATGGCTAAAATATACAAAAAAGGGATAAAGAGAAAATGACAGCTTTCTCCACTTCTTAATTAGGCCACATTTTAAAACCACTGAAGCCGGGCTGGATGGCTCAGCCTGTAATCCCGCGCTTTGGGAGGCCGAGGTGGGTGGATTGCCTGAGCCCGCGGGTTCGAGATCCACCTGGGCAACTTGGCGAGACCTCATCTCTACAATAAATCGAAAATTAGCCGGGCGTGGTAGTGTGCGCCTGTAGGTCCAGCTACTTGGAAGGCTGAAGTGGAAGGATCGCCGGAGCCCAGCAGGTTGAGGCTGCGGTGGCCGGGAGCAACCACTGCACTCCAGTCTGGGTGACGGAGTGAGACTCAAACTCAAAAAATAAATAAATAAATAAATAAATAAATAAATAAATAAATAAATAAAACCATTGAGTCACCTTTTTCTATATTTTGAATATTTACAAAATGTTTAAATGACTCCGCTGGACTCAGTAGTGCACTGATTAACTCCTTAAAATTATTTTCCTGACCTCCGGAAGAACTTTCCTCTTTCATGGGTACTCCCACCTATTTTGTGCCTCAGGGAAGTTTAGATTAAGCTGTGGAGAAATAGACATGATATTAAGGCAGTTACCAGAAGAGGTAATAATTTGGAATAGGCTGATAAGTGGGTTTCTTTTCCTAATTTCAAGGACTATTTTGTAAATTTGCAAAATAACTAGGAAGAAAAATATTTATTGGCAAAACTGACTTCAGCGTAGTTAATATTTTATTTTATTTTACTTTACATGTATAAAGTAAGTGGTGAAAATCAGAATTTGGCTATAGGATATATCACTCTAACATTCACATACCTTAAACAATTTTATGCCATATTTCAGCCATAAATCAGAAACTTATGTCCTGCTTAAATATTATTCTGAATTATTTCAATGCTGACTGACCTCAGGAGATCTGACTTCTAGACTATGGGAAGTACCTGCTTGGGCACTCCTTGATTTGACAGGACACAGAACATCCTCTATCCCCTGCTCTTCTATGAATGTCCCCATTGCCATGAGTTATCACGGGAATTTCCCGAGGAAGAACACTCAGTTAGGGGGTGAAGGCATAATATGTAGATAAGGCAAACACCACGTCACTGACCTGAACACATTCAAGATAGTGAGCTGTTTTTTGTTTGGGATTTTTTGTTTGTTTGGTTGGTTGGGTTTTTTTTAACACTGGGTAGCAATTGCTAGTGATTCAAAAGATTTTTTACACATAAGTACTAATGTTAAAGCTTTAATCTATAAAAATAATGACTGATTCGTTTGGAACAAAACTGATGTGCTAAGATTGATTTTTGCAAACTCGATGAAATTGAACTCAAAATGTCTTCTATTTCTAATCTTTCATTTTAAAAATCTTTTTATTTTAAAGAGGTGGGATACAGTTCAGGGTTAGGTACATAATTGATCATTGTACAGGTAAAGTTTGGGTACCCTTATTCATGGTATGTGCTCCTCCCTTCCTCTGGCAGTGTCTGCCAATTCCTTTCTTATAGTCTTATGATAAATGTTCAGTGAGACCATGTAGTACTCAGAGCTTTGTTTCTGTGATAAATCACTGAGTATTGTAGACTCTAAGTCCATCCAAGTTTCTGTAAAGTTCATAATTTTGTCCTTGTTTATGGCTGCATAATATTCCATCATGTATATGTGCCGCATTTTTTTTTTTTTTACCCAGTCCTCTTTTGATGGGCAGCACGGTTGGTTCCATATTTGCGCTATTATGAATAATGTTGCAATAAACATGCATGTGTAGGTATCTTTTTTATAGAGTGATTTGAGTTCCTCCAGGTATAGTCCCAGCAGGGGGATTGTTGGGTCACATGAAAGGTTGATTTTTAGATCTTTTGGAAATCGCCATACTGTTTTCAACAGAGGTTGTACTAGCTTACACTCCCACCAACAGTATGGAAGGGTTCCCTTTTCCCCGCATCCTCCCAGTTGTTTTTTGAGTTATTGATGATGGCCATGCTGATTGGAGTTAGGTGTTATCTCATTGTGGTTTTAATTCGTTTTTTAAACTGAAAAAAAAAAAGCCCCAGAAAATGTAAAAGAGAAAAAAAATACAAATGGTAACAGTGTTCATATTGAGGGAGATAGAAATACTGGTAGTTTTCTTTGGCTTTTGTTTTTGTTTTTTTGAGTCGGATTCTCACTGTGTCGCCCAGACTGGAGTGCAGTGTCCACTCCCAGCCTCCGCAGCCTCGACCTGCTGGGCTCCAGCGATCCTTCGGCCTCAGCCTTCCGAGTAGCTGGAATTACAGGTGCGCACTATCACGCCCGGCTGATTTTTTGATTTATTGTAGAGATGAGGTCTCGCTGCCCAGGCGGGTCTCGAACCCGCGGGCTCAGGCAATCCACTCACCTCAGCCTCCCAAAGGCGCGGGATTACAGGCTGAGCCACCGAGCCCGGCAGGGCTCAGTCTTTCAAGTAGCTGGGACTACAGGTGCGTGCCACCATGCCTGGCTATTTTTTTTACTTATTGTAGAAACAAGGTCTTGCAGTGTTGCCCAGGCTGGTCTCAAACATCTGAGTTCAAGCAGTCCTCTCACTTTGGCCTCCCTAAATGCTGTGATTGCAGACATGAGCCACCACACTCAGCCTCAAAAGCATCATTTTAAACTCAAGAGACAGTTGCAAGAATCCTTTTAAATCTGCTTTTCATCTTTTAGGCAGATTCTGCTGAGAAACTTAGAGAATATGGGCTTTCCCACATCTGCAGCCATCCTGTGCTGGTAACCAGAAGTAGGTCTTGTCCTCTGGTAGCACCGCCAAAGTCACCTCCAGTACCTCCCTGGAAACTCATTCGTCAACAAAGAGAACCTGTCATAACAGATGAAGCTCAAGGTGTGTGTCATGTTGCCTTCAAATCTTTCTGGTTAACATTTCCCTGTGTGAAGGTAAAATAGTTTCATGTGTGGTGAAATACATATGTCAAGGTAAATCACCCAACATTACATCTATAGCCCACATCTAATTTTATGTCCAGATTTCATGTCTTTAAAAGATTATTCATGGCCAGGCTCGGTGGCTCAGCCTGTAATCCCACGCCTTTGGGAGGCTGAGGTGAGTGAATTTCCTAACCCCGCGGCTTCGAAACCCACCTGGGCAACTTGATGAAACCTCATCTCTACAATAAATCAAAAAACTTATCCGGGCCTGGTAGCGCATGCCTGTAGATCCAGCTACCTGGAAGGTTGAGATGGAAGGAACGCTGGAGCCCAACACGTCGAGGCTGAGGTGGCCGGGAGCGGCCACTGCACTCCAGTCTGGGCGATAGAGTGAGACTCCCAACTCAAGAAAAAAAAAATATTTATAGGAATTTAATAACCAGCACCCAATAAGAAAAACTTACATTTGGCATCCAATAAAAAAATTACTAAGCATGCAAAGAAACAGGAAAGTATGACCCATAATGTGGGGGGAAAAAAAAAATCAATCAAAGAAACTGACCTAGATGTCAGAATTAGCAGACACAGGCGTTAAAATTTGTTACTTGGCAGTGTTTCCTTTTTCTTTTTTTTAAAGGAGTCTCTCTGTCACTTTTTTTAAAGGAGTCTCTCTGTCACCCTGCCTGGAGTGCAGTGGCACGCTTATGGCCACTGCAGCCTTGGCCTGTTGGGCTCAGGTGAGATTTCTGTCTCAGCTTTCCAAGTAGCCGGAACCACAGGCGCACACCACCATGCCTGGTCAAGTTTTTGATTTATTGTAGAGATGAGGTCTCACCAAGTTGCCCAGGCTGGTCTTGAACCTCTGGACTCAGGCAATCCTCTCGCCTCTGCTTCCCAAAGTGATGGTATTACAGGTTTGAGCCACTGAG